CCGCCCGCCTCCCTCCCGCAGCGGCGGGAACAGGCGCTGAGAAACAGACATGCCTGCGTGCATAACCTGAGCGGAGCCCTGAAAAATAAGTGGCAACTTCGGTCCTTCCCCCCCCTCCCTCACCCCCGCCAGCCCCCGTTCACATCCGAAATCGATCCGGTGCGTTAGGCGCTCGCTCGCCCGGGGGAAGGGGGCAGCGCAGGACGTCAGACATTTTTGTCTGTCTGTGTATTTTTGTACGAGAAAACCTGGTCCGGGGAGTTTTAATGCCTCCGAAGACCTGTTCTTCCTGCTTCCGGGCCCTCAGGATGCTGCTGCTTCTCCTGGGAGAGAGCGGGATGTGGAGAGGGCTCTCCCTGGACATTTTGCCTTGTGTCGGTCAGCCTGTCCTATCCAGAGGCTGCGGCCGGCGAGGAGGGGGGGGGGGGGAAGGAGGAGAGGAGCCTGGCTGGGGGGGAGCTGCCCGGGCCCGGGTGAGACGGAGCATCCCTGCGGAGAGAGGCACCGGCCGGCCCTGCCGCCTGGTCCCTCGGTCCCCTGCCCGCCCTTCTCACCGGGGCCCGGGCAGCACCGCGTCCCGCCGGGGTGCGGGGACCGCCGGCCGAGGGGTAAAACGCCTGTTCCTTCGCTTAGCGGAAAGAAATTCAAATTTAAAATGATTTTTAAACCGAGCCGGCTAAAAGTCAGGCACAGGCTGGCAGGGGAAGGAGAGAATAAAAAGGGCGGGGGGATTAGAAAGTTGAGAAAGTGTCTCTAGGCAAGTTGGACAGGTGGACCTGCCTGGGGAGCTACCGGCTAGCTTGGGGCAATAAAAAACGGTTAATAGGTTGGGGAACAACAACCAGTCTTTCAGCTGTTTCCTACTGTTTGATCTTGTTTAATATAACATTGGGCGAAAGGCAATTTAATTTACAGCCCAAACGCTTATTTAATATCCTCCTCTCTTCCACCCCCTCCCCAAACAGAAGGACGGGGTATAATCACGTATTCGGGTACCCGTATTTCTGCACAAGCCAGTACCACTCAGCACTGCTGATTTTCCTTCTCTGGTCGAGAGATTGCAAAGCGAAAGGGTTCAGTTTAGAGGAAGCATTCGCGCAGGAGGTGGTTTTAAAAAATGAAAGCAGGGCATGCTTCAGGAAAAAAAAAAATTAAAAAATGATAATGTGAACGAACGAAAAAATAATCTCTCTGCTACTCCCCCTTTTCCCTGTGTATCGAAATTCCGGCTTGTATGTTTAGCTAATCTAATCTATGGAGAGGGGCTGGGGGTGGGGATGGAAGGGAGGAGTTGGAAAGAGCTGAGATGCTTGTGACAGTTTAAATTCATGCCAGGTTTCAGTCTAATTTCAACTGATTCCGGCGTGTGATTTCAGTCCCACCGATACGTTAGTTAATATTTTATACCGATCATGGACATGCTGTAGCCTCGGATCTCCGAAAGGAGACAGAGCTTTTGAACGCGCCTAATTTTCCCTAGGCATTTGCTGGGTTAGCACCCTCGTCTTTTCACAGGCGTTCCCCTTACAGGAGAAATGCGAACAAAATGCCATTAAAACCAACCAGCCAACACCCCTCTGCGGAGGCCAGACCCTTCCCAAAGTTTTATGGAGCCGATATCCAGCCCGGAGCCGGAGCCGGGGAGCCCGGAGGAGCGATTACGGCCAGGGACAGTTTTCATTTCGGAAGTGAAAACGAGCACTTCGGCTTGGGTCCCCGCCTCGCTTAAGCGCAGAGGCAGCTCAGGACGTTTTATTACGTTCAATTAACTTACGATTTGCAGTTCGTCATTTGCATTTTGGGATGCCCCTAAGTGTATAGGGCAATATATATGTGCACGCGCACATTTGTGTGTGTGCATACATATATATATATATATAAAATACGTGTGTATTTGATGAGGGAAAACGGATTTAATTCTGGATCGTCTGCAGCTGTGGCTTCCTCCCCAGCCCCACACCGCCCCGGAGGTGAAGCAGGACAAAGGAGGCGGCCGGGGCCGGCTCGTCCCGGGGCTCCGCGCTGGATGCGCACCCCGGCGGGCGCCCCCGGCCGGCCGGGGCATTCGGGGGGGCCGGTTCGCCCCCCGAGGGGGGCCC